GTGACCCAGCATCACCTCCATGTGGATCACTGTTTCTAGCCCTAGCATGGCCCAGCATCACCTCCATGTGGATCACTGTTTCTAGCCCCAGGGTGGTCCAGCATCACCTCCATGTGGATCACTGTTTCTAGCCCTAGCGTAGCCCAGCATCACCTCCATGTGCATCACTGTTTCTAGCCCCTGAAGTCAGTTCCACAGATCTTACCGTTCACTGCTGTCCCAGTCTGTGCACAACTCTACTAGCCTCTTATTCTCCAAGGACCACAGCAAACATGCTATATGCAGAGACCTTCAGGGACTCACTTCCTGCAGTAAAGCACAAACTCCTTTGCTGACATTTAAGGTCCTTTGTGGTCGGGCTCCAAATCTTTCCATGCTCATCTCTTACCCTCCTCTTCATGTCCCTGAGGTTTCAACCCAAATGCACAACCATCTGGTCCCTTATTGGCCCTGTGTGTTTCCCTGCAGTTTAAAATCTGAACTTCCTCTATTTATGGTCTCCAGAGTTCCAGGTCTTCTCACTGCACCATTGCTATAGCCAGGCGGTACCCCTGACTTTCACCACGGCCATCCCATGGCTCTGCCTATTGCGTCCCTGCGTCTTCTCTGCTGTTGAACTGCAGATTTAAAGCTAGAATCAAAGCAGCTCACAGGTAGAGACCGCGCCCTAATGTTTGCAGGGCAATTGCAGGCAAGCTGCTGAAACTGTTCCCTTCACTGTAAACAGACAGACACACCTTAGAAGGTCTTTAAAGAATTAACAAAGTTAAATCTGTTCCTAAGGATAACTTCATTATTTGTATTCTTATCTCATCCTCTGCTAGGCTGCTCTGCTCCCTAACTACAAGCTCCTCACCTTTTTCTACCAGGTTCTAGGATGCTGCCTGTGGTGGGTTGGAGGCCTGGCTCGCCAGCATTCAAGTAGCTGAACTAAATGTCTAGAGGTGAGGAGAGTTGCTGCCTCTGCTCTCTTTGTTCAAACTCATGGCTCAGGCAGCAGCAGGCGTGGGTGTCCCCAGGGGAGGCAGTGACAGCTTCAGTTCTCACACGGGCTTTGCAGGTGACAGCTGGAGCTGTAGGGCCCTGCCAGCGAAGGCACAAGCCCACCCTAGCATGCCCCAGCTAATGGACATCCCTGGGGGACACCGTCTATACCTTGAACCAACCCAAGTCAAAGCTGGGTGACTCTGGTAGCTCCCTGTAGGATGGGGTAGGATAGAGTTGGAACCCAGAGCTGGAGCGTGGGGCTCTGGTTATCACTTAAGTGTTTCTCTCCAGGCCTGTTGTCTCAGTGTTGAGGGCTTGCCCCAGGACCAAGTCTGCTCCAGACCTTTCTTAAAGATGTCCAGTCCTCACTTTTCCTGCCTGTTACCGAAGCTTCCCCTCACATCTCTGGGAACCACCAGAACAGAAAGCCAAGATCAACACAGTGCAATAGAAAAGAATTTTATTGGAAAGAAGGGTCTCTTGCTGGTGCCTTCTAGGCCCTGGCTAAAGGGGTTTGCCAGCACTCAACTCTACTTTAGGGCATCTAAAGGCAAAGAGTCTGCCCACACCTTAACTTCAATAACCTGAAAGGGAGGGAACGTGCCATAGTAGAATAGTAAATCAGAGTCCAATCTCAAGAACAACTTCCAGGCTCTTTCCTTTAAGAACGTCTTAACGGCAAAGTAGATCTGGGCGGCGGATAAGAGAACATTTTCAGTTATCTCTGGAAGAGTCATCTCTGGGTTTTTTACCTTTAAAGTTTGCTTAAAGGTAAGGCATGTTCAGAGTACCAAGGAGGTCAGCGCCTTGGTAAAAGTGCTACAAAGCACTTTTCCAGTTCTTGTTTTTGGAGTCTCTTGCCAGGAGAGGTGACCTCCTGCGAGTTAATAATAATAATAAAAAATACCTTGCAGCACGAATTTCTTCCCTGACTTGCAGGTCTTGAGGCGCTGTGGGCGCTCGGCGGCTCAGACCGGGCGGTGGAGGCGGTGGACAGACCAGCCACCCGGCCCCGCCTCCCGCTCACACCAGGGCATCCTGGGAATTTTTGGTTTCCTAGACGGACAGGAGTAGGGTGAGGGGGCGAGCGGAGGGCACGGTGACCATGGCGACTGCAGTGACCATGGCGACCGTGGCTCAGAGCACGGAAAGGTCGTGACACGACCTGGAGCGTTGCTTGAAAAACTTGGCGTTGCGTGGCACCAGGTTGGCGAGGAAGCGCTTAGCCTTCTTGGTGAGGCTCTCGCGGCGCGTCGGCGGCGCGGGGCCGTCGGGGCTGCCAGGCTCGGGTCTCTGACCCCCGACATGGCCCCGGCCCCGCCGCAGCCTGATCTGGCGCACAGCGCCCTCGAAAAGCTCACGAGTGTTGTGATGCAGTGCGGCCGAGGTCTCGATGTGCTTGCAGCTCAGCGTCCCGGCCAGATGGCGACCCTCTGCAGGAAGGAAGCAGCTCAGGCGCCCGCCCGATGGGCAGCTTTGCCCGGGTCTGGGGTGGGCATACACAGGTCGGGCAGGAGATGGGGGTGGGACCACCAAATTCCAACTGAGAACTGGGTTGGGATCCAATTACAGAGGCGCAAAGGGGAGGGCAAGGTGCTTAGAAGGAGCAATGAAGGCTAGTAGTGGGGAGCTGGGTAGTGGGGCTTTTCCCTGACTCAGAGACTAAATGCAAGAACTTGTGCACCAGTGTGGGTAAAAGGCCTCCCGGGGAAGGATGACCAGGAGAATCATCTCTTGAGATTTTAAGTACGGAATGGGTCCAGGATACACACCCTCCAGCGACACTTCCCGGGAGCGGGCCAGGTCACTCTTGTTTCCCACAAGGATGACAGGTAGGTCGTGGTGGGGCCTTCCGGCCCGGAGACGAAGGAGGGTTTCAGGAACTTTGGAGAAGCTTCGTCGGTCTGTGACTGAGAAGACGATGAGAAAGGCATCCCCCGTCTGAAGGCAGTGGTCCTGCAGCCACCCTCCTGCATCCCCCTGCAGATGAGCAGAGAGCCATGAAATGCTAGAGCTGCACCTGCATCTCAGCAAAGAGGAATCCGAATGTGAGGGGAGCCACTTGCCTGGTACTGGGAGCTAGTTAATGGCAGAATTTTGATACCCAGGGGCCTTGGGGAGGATGGAGAAGTTAGTGATGTGAGTCCCACGTGGGAGACCTGGGGAAATAGGATCTCCGAGTAGAAGAATATGGAAAGGCTTGGTGTAGCACCCTGGTACAGTGCTTGCCTAGTGTGTAGAAAGGCCTGAGTTCGATTCCTAGCTTGTTACAAACCTATAATCCGTCACCCAGTAGGCTGAGGCAAGAAAAGGAGTTGTGCCTTCCAGGCCAGTATTGGGCTACACTGTGAGACCTTGTTCCCCAAACTAAAGAGCTAAAAGTTTTAAAAGTGGCAGAACCTCGCCTTTTCTTTCTCCATAGAAACATGTTCAAGCACTCAGAAGCCACCCAATTCTCCTCCCTTTACTGATAATGTGGAGCCCTTCTTCCTGTCATATCAGCCTTCCAGGCTGCCGTATTTACGAATGGGTCCGTTTCTGTGTGTTTACCCTGACTGGATGCTGAAGAGTTTGTCAAATTCAGATTCTAACAATGGGTGTCACAACCACGAGCCATGATAAGCATCCCAGGGTGGGCCTTTGCTCCAGGAGATAGGCCAGTGCAAAGACATGTAGTCATCCATGTTGGAGTCGGGATCGGTAATACCCTTCCCCAGTCCCTGCATCTCACCTGCTCCCAGATGTCGTAAACAATTAAAGTCACTTCTTCTTTGTCCACCATGATTCGTCTCTCGTAAGTGTCCTCTGTTGGGAAAGAGGGAATGACACCTGTGAGGCCTGGTAACCAGGAACACCTTAGCTCCCAACAGCAGGGAATCCCCTCCGGGGCCTGTTCGTACCAGAAACACTTTCAGCCCTTCGAGGTGCCCCCAAATACCTGAGTTCTCCATCTCGTGAGCACTGTCTCCCTGGAGACCTCCAAAAGTGCCTGCTAGGGTGCTCTTGCCCACGCCACTCTCCCCCACGAGCATGACCTTAAAGACACCATCCTTTTGGGCGGTGGCTGTGTCCGCCGAGCCCAAGGACTCAGAGGAGCCAGAGGAGGAGGCCTGAGGTGGCCAGTCAAGTTCATCAACAGCTTGTCCCCGCCGCAGCTGGTGTTTGTAGGGTACAGGCATACTTCCTCTTCGTCTGGGGGCCCCAGGGACAGGAGGGGGCCCACTCCGGTCCAGCTCTGCCAACAGTTTTTCTGGCTTCTGTTTCAAAAGTGTAGTGTCTGCTTCTAGGGAGGGACAGAAAACGAAGCTAGGAGTAAGGTGTATGCAGGTAGCTGCCAAGTTTATTTGCTTCTTCAGAGCAGATAAAGACCAGGGTCCCAGAAGAACTGAGAGTCATTAGTCCAGTCTCTTGTACCAAAATTACCTAGAAACCCAAAGTGAGGAACTCTCAAGGAGCTAGCATGATGGTTTCCCCTTGTAGATTCCGACCACAGCCTGTTCAAAAGGTATGCCACGTGGGGGAGGCACTGTGCACAGGGTTACACACCACTCACACCCTGCCCTAGCGTAGGCACACCCTAGCTAGGCCTCTGGACCAGGTGGAACTGAGAAGCAAGCCGTCCTTCCACTGCTGGGCCCTCCCTCCTATGGCTTCCTGCACCGCAGTCCTCAAACGGAGCTGCTGGCAGGTGTGGGCAGCATCACAAACTTTCCAGGGGCCGTGTTCGCAGGGCTGGGTGCTGGAGAAGGAGAGTGTGCTGTTTCCTCTGTCCCCGCAGGTAGGTGGGCATCCCCAGCACATGTTTGTGTGTGAGGGAGAATCCTCCTGGATTTTTGCCTGTCCCAGTGAGTGGGAGAGAAAATTGTGTTTGTAGGGAGGTAGAGGTGGAGAGAGTGTGCCCGTGAGGAAGATGACAACCCAAGGGTTGGGGTAACTAGCGGAACAACAACAGACACAACAAAGGGGGATGCAGCAGGCTATAAATAGCACAGGATCAATATTTGGCAGGCAGCCAAAGATGGAGCTAGAAGAAACCCTTACAACAGGTCCCCAGGGAAGCCCCCTCCACTGGTGATTCCTAGGTTTGCGGGCTGCTCCTTTCCTTTCCCCTTCCCTCCTGGACCGCTCTGCTTCATCAGGGATGAGGTTAACCTAGGGGCCAAGTACTAGTTTCTCTAGCAAAGCCCTGGGCGTGTTGGGGGAGGGGCACCTGGGCAGCTTTCCCCCTCCCCCTTGGCTGTCCAGATCTCAAAAGTGCAGGGGGCTCCTTGGCTGCATTGACTCTTCCCTTCTCAATGAACCTTGGCACTGACCTTCCCACAAAGCTTCAGCTTCCCCACCCAGGGCTTCAGCCACGTTCTACTCCGATTAGCCCTCACCTGGTGTGGGTGTCCCTGATGGGGAGGCCTGGCGGCTGCTGGAAGAACAAAGTGCTGTGGTTTCTGTGTCCGTGTCCATGTTGGTGTCAAGGTCCGTGTGCATCGGTGTGCTTGTGCGAGTGCAGCCCCGCGGCTCCCTGCACCGGTCCCTCACTCAGCAGCACAGTCAGCTCTTCCCTTTAAATACCGCCCCCCCTTTCCCCTCCCTCCCCAGACACCTGGGGAAATTGTCCCGCCTCCTGATGAGGTCACATATGCTAATGAGGAGTGATGTAAGCGGGATTCCCTCCTTCTGTCCCCCTCCTTTTTCTTTGTGTCACTTCCCTCTGGGAGCAGACTCAGCGCACAGGCACAGCCTGGTTAAAGCAGAACAGAGCAGCCATAGGGGCAGAAGAGCAGATTTCAGAGGGCAGCGCGGAGGAAGGGGGCTGTGGGTAGCGGAGCTGAGAGTGGCAGGGTGCAGGGACCCTGGGAGCCAAAGGACTTTTGCTTCAGGGTCCAAGACTATATTCACTTTGTCTGTTGTTTCCAGCCCCCATCTAGCTGTCCAGCTTAGGGTGGGTGCTTAGTGGATAAAAAGAGGGTGCCAGACTGACTAAAGGCTAACTTGATAACAAGAAACGGGTCAAGAGAGGACGAAGCTGGGGCATGCCTCCTTCACTCTGCCTCTTCTGGAGTAAGCTACAAAAGTCTGCAGGCAGATGAGAGCTCTGAGGAAGCTCTTTGTGTAGCTTTGGTTTGCCTTCACCTTCTCTCTCCGCTAGGTCCATGCAGCCAGTGTTAGCCAGCAGCAGAAGCAGAGACAAAGCAACCTGGAGGACGGCGTCTACAGGAACAGGCAACTCCTTGACTCTTCTTCCCATTCGGGTTCTGCATCTCCTTAAGCACCCAGTCACCTCGCTGCTTCGCCCTATTTTGCCAAGTATTCTTCTGTTAACACTCTTCCTATTCGTGACAAAGGTTTAGAGTGGTTTGGTGGGGGGGCCTGTCCCCAAAGCACTCAGACAAGTGTCAGTAGGTTTCCCATCCTTATCTTCTCAATGGCAAGACAACTCCCACCCCCAATTCTACATAAAGCTGCTTGCTTTCTCTGTAATATCCGCAACCTTTTAAAAGGATTTATTTTTATTTCACGTGCGCTCATGTTTTGGCTGCATATATGTCTGTGTGAGGTGTTGGATTCCCAGGAACTGGAGTTACAAGTAGTTATGAGCTGCCATGTGGGTGCTGGGAATTGAACCTGGGTCCTCTGGAAGGGCAGCCCGTGCTCTTGGCCGCTAGTCATCTCTCCGGTGCCTCCTTGCAACCTTCTTTGGTGATATATTTTGGCATTCTCAGTGGAGTTTTCCATGGAAGAAGCGAGTAGCAATCCCGAAAATACATATAGTGCCACTAATCTGGAGATGAGCCCCAGGGCAGGATCTGAAGGAGCTACCGCAGCACACTGCACTCTGTAGGGCACCCGATCAGCTTCTGGTTCTAGCTTGCTTCTCTGTGGCTGCGATAGAGCCCAAAACAAGCCAGGGAGGATAGAGTTTATTTGGCAAACAAGTTACAGGGCATCACCAGGGGATGCCAAGGCAGGAACACAGCCAGGAGCTTGGGCAGAATTCATGGAGGAAAGCTGCTTACTGGACTGCTCAGCTAACTTTCTTATATAGTCCAGGGCCCCTGCCCAGGAGAGCACTGCCTATAGTGGGCTAGGACCCCACAGATGTGGCCACAGACCATACTGTCAGACAATCCCTCAGGTTAGGGTTCCTCTTTCCAGGTGTCTCATTTTTTTTTTAAATTTATTTATTACATATACAATATTCTGTCTGTGTGTATGTCTGCAAGCCAGAAGAGGGCACCAGACCTCATTAGAGATGGTTGTGAGCCACCATGTGGTTGCCGGGAATTGAACTCAGGACCTTTGGAAGAGCAGGCAATGCTCTTAACCACTGAGCCATCTCTCCAGCCCCCCAGGTGTCTCATTTTTGTTAGTTTGCTTTTTTTTTAAAAGAAAGTTTTTATTTATTTATTTATTATGTATACAATATTCTGTCTGTGTGTATGTCTGCAGGCCAGAAGAGGGCACCAGACCTCATTACAGATGGTTGTGAGCCACCATGTGGTTGCCAGGAATTGAACTCAGGTCCTTTGGAAGAGCAAGCAATGCTCTTAACCACTGAGCCATCTCTCCAGCCCCTGTTAGTTTGTTTTGGGTTTTCAAGACAGGGTTTTTCTATGTAGCTTTGGAGCCTGTCCTGGAACTCGCTCGGTAAACCAGGCTGACCTCGAACTCACAGAGATCCACCTGCCTCTGCCTCCAGAGGGATTAAAGGTGTGCACCACCACCGCCTGACTCCAGGTATGTCGTTTTGACAACTGAAACTGATGTGACAATTATTTTATCCACAACTTTGGTCTACGAAGTATATTCTGTAATGGAGGCACACTTGGAGCAGTGACCTTGGTAGCCCTGGGTTTCTGAGCCAGATCTGCAGCCCTTTGGAAAGTCTTACATTCCAGACGTGTGTGTGTGTGTGTGTGTGTGTGTGTGTGTGTGTGTGCCACGTGTACTTAGGTGCCTGCAGAGGCCAGAAGAGGGTGTCAAATGCCCTGGAGCTGTTGTGATCTGAGAGCAAACTCAGGTCCTCTGGTGCTCTTAACCTCCTCCACCGTGTGTGTGTGTGTGTGTGTGTGTGTGTGTGTGCGCACGCGTGCGTGCGCACACACCTCCTGAGTGCCGGGGTTAGACACAGGTGCCACCATGTCTGGATGTTTTTCTTTTCCGCACTTACTTTTTGTGTATGTCTATGGACACACATATACAGCTGCATTCATGTAGAGGTTAGAGGACAACTTGGGAGCTGCTCTCTCCCTCCACTGTGCGTTCTGGGGATTGAGCTGGGGTCGTCAGGCTTGGTAGTAAGCACCTCTACCCGCTGAGCCATCTCACCAGCTGGGCTTATCATGTGTATATATATACATATATATATGTATATATATATATGTGTATATATACTGCAGTTCTGGGAATCAAGCCTAGGATGCCATAAATGTGAGACAAGCCTGACGCCACTGAGCGGCTTCTCTAGCTCTGGTTTTAAAGTCGCTGGGCCGCGCGGCACCTGTACTGCCAGGACAGTGGCTCTCAGCCTTTCCTATGCTGCCACTGGCGCTGCAGTACAGCTCCTCATGCTGTGCTTGCCCCTGCCATAAAATTAGTTTTTTAATTTTTAAGGTTTATTTTATGTGTATGAGTGCTCTGCCTGCACAGCAGAAGAGGGCATCGGATCCCGCTACAGATGGCTGTGAGCCACCATGTGGTTGCTGGGAATCGAACTCAGGACCTCTGGAAGAGTAGCCAGTGTTCTTAACCTCTGAGCCATCTGTCCAGCCCCCCAAATTATTTTCATTGCTACTTCATAACAGTAATTTTGGTAGTTATGAATTGTAATGTATTTTGTGTTTTCTAATGCTCTTAGGCAACCCCTCTGAAAGGTCATTCAACTCAAGGGGGTCATGACCCACAGGTTGGAACACACTGCTTTGGAGGCTGAGGCAGGATTATGGAGTTGGGAGATCAAGCCTGGCCTAGCCAGCAAGACCCTGTCTCAACACTAAATTCAGAAGACACCCTACAGACGTGAGCTTTACTTACCGCAGAACTCACTTGGGTGCTCACAATCATTTCCTTGGTACTTCTAAGGGTGAGTCAAAAGTTGCATACCCTGGTGAGTTTCCCATTGGGATTCTGCCGCCTCCTCAAACCAGTCTTGGAGGTCCAGCTGTAGGGCATTTTCCTTTTCTTTTTTTTTTGGAGGGGTGGAGTGTTGAGACGGGGTTTCTTTGTGTAACATTGGCTGTTGTGGAGCTCACTCTGTAGACCAGGTTGGCCTAGAACTCCTGCCTGCATCTGCCACCTGAGTACTGGGATTACAGGTGTGTGCCATCAACGCCTAGCATAGAGCATTTTCTTAGTGATTGAGGGGGAGGGCCCAGCCCATTGTGGGTGGTGCCATCCCTGGAGAGGTGGTCCTGGGTTCTACAAGAAAGTAGGTTGATCAAACCATGAGGAGCAAGTCAGTAAGCAGTACTCCCCTCACCCCACCCCATGACTGCTGCATGTGCCACTACTGCCCGGCATCCTGATTTCTTTCAGTGATGAACGGTGATGTGGATGTGTAAGCTGAATAAACCCTGTTCTTCTTAACTGGCTTTTGGTCATGGTGTTTCATCACAGCAATAGGAACCCTAACTAGGACAGTCTCCAAGGGAGGTGTGGCTCCCTGGCCTCCTCCTTGGCCCTGCAGTTCACATTAGTGAGTGATTTTACTATGCCTTGAGTCTTGGCCATGATGCGGTACTCCTCTCATCAGGCAGCATCCTAGAGCAAATTCTCCAGATTACTGCAAGACAAAATAACTGGGTGAGGTCTTGCTGCATTAGCTTAGGATGGCATTGAACGCATGACAATTTTTTTAATTTTTAGTTTATGTGCACTGGTGTTTTGCCTACATATATATCTGTATGAAGGTGTCAGATCTGGAGTCATAGACAGTTGTGAGCTGCCATGTGGGTGTTGGGAATTGAACCTAGGTCCTCTGGAAGAACAGCCAGTGTTCTTAACCACTGAGCCATCTCTCCAACCCGAACGCATGATGATTCTACCTTTGCCTCCTTTGCATGAGCTAAGATTAAATGCATGCACACTCTTACCTTCTTTTTGTAAATTGGTTGTCTCTGTTGTTTGCTACAGTAACAGTAACACAGATTAACCACCAACCAGACCTAGCAGGTATGAAGCCCAGGCTTCAATCCTCAGCACTGTATATACCTGGTATGGTTACTTGCCTGTGATTCCAGCTCTTGGTGGATCTGAGATAGTCTTTTTTTTTTTTTTTTTAAGAAAAAAAAAAGTGGTGTGTGTGTGTGTGTGTGCGTGCGTGTGTGCTGGAGAGATGGCTCAGTGGTTAAGAACACTGGCGACTTTCAGAAGTCCTGAGTTTAATTCCCAGCAGCCATATATATGGTGGTTCACAACCATCTATAGTGGGATCTGATGCCCTCTTCTGGTATAAAGTCAATAGAGCACTCACATACATAAAAAATTATTAAAAAGGGAACTTAGTGACTGGATCCATTTCCTGTTTTCCTATATTGTCTGTACAAGGTCAGTTCCTGCTTGTACCAGAACAGGGTACACTTCTTCCAGGTATTTGATCTATAGGCCTCCCTCATGAACTCTGCTTTCAAGGGTTCTTGTCAATGTGTGGGTGCATCCTAAGCCAGCACCCTCACCTTAATCTCTGTCCAGTTTTGCGTTGCGAATACCCAGGAAGGATTTGAAGGAGGCCAAGGGATTAAGGTGTCAGTCAGCAGGGTCCGAGGTGGCTGCCGCAGAACAGATGACAGCTATCTCTGCTGAGGAAGAGGTCAAAGTTTAGGGCATCCCTGATCCCAGTTGTTGAGGGTCCTAAGAGGGGAAACTCTGGAGCAGCCTGCTTACCAGAGGCAGGGCTCCAACACCCCCCATTTCATCCCCTCATCTACCATCCCCAACAGCTTGGGCTCCATGGAGGCTGGGGTCTAGCCTCCATGTTTAATTTGTTTGTCCTGCTTAGAATTTAGCTTACTGCTGGCAGCACGGTTGAGAACTCAGCTTGGACCCTCCTCTAGGAAGACCCCCTGCCCGGCTGGGGTGGAGCCAGAATGGCTCCTGGGTTTTGTCAGGGAACAGACTGCTGCTGTGCTCTGTGCTGGAGTATTCCATAAATGGACCCTTTCTTGACTTCCGTGCTCAGCTGGCTCCAGCTTCTGGCCTGCAGTGAGGTCAGGCTTACTGCCGAGCCTCACATCAGTCAGTGTAGGGCTGGGCCAGAGGCTGAAGGTGGAGACGGTTAGTCCTCACCGTTCTTGAATCACGCTGCCTCCTAAGTAGCATGGAAACGAAAGGCAGGCGGTTGAA